ACAGATCAAATATTAGCAACTATTGACCCATTTCTGTTCTTTCGGTATTTTCAATAATTTTAGAAAGAATATTGTCTAATAGAATATACAAACATCTCAACAAAAATAACTTACTGTACAACAAACAATTTGGTTTTAAAAAAGATAACTCAACAGAGCATGCAATAATCCAGTTTGTGCATGAAATCTCAAAATCTTTTGAAAAATCACAGTACTTGTTAGGTATCTTCATTGACCTATCAAAAGCTTTCGACACGGTAGATCATCACATTCTGCTTCAAAAACTTGAATATTATGGAATTAATGGTATTGCCTTAAAATGGTTTAGAAGCTATTTAACAAAAAGAAAACAATTTGTAATTAGTAACGACGGCTATCAAAATAATTGTCTTGATATCGTCTGCGGTGTTCCTCAGGGTTCAATCCTCGGGCCCCTACTTTTCTTGATATATATAAATGATCTGAATAAAGCTTCTAACCTTATAAGCATTATGTACGCAGATGATACCAATCTATTCCTCTCAAACAGTAATATATACGAACTCTTTACTACTATGAATAAAGAATTAAAACATATATCAAACTGGTTTAAATGTAATAAGCTAACTTTAACTATTAATAAAACCAAATGGACTCTATTCCATTCGCATGCAAAAAAGCGATTTTTACCAATAAATTTGCCGCAACTTTTTATTGACGAAATTGAAATAAAAAATGATTCCGTTACAAAATTCTTAGGTGTTTATCTCGATGAAAACATCTCCTGGAATTAACATATTAATTATATATCTACTAAAATTTCAAAAAACATTGGGAGTCTATATAAAGCTCGTAACTACCTAAATAAAAATTGCTTAAAACAACTTTATTACTCTTTTATCCACAGTTACATAAATTATGCCAACACTGCTTGGAGAAGTACTGTAAAAAGTAAGTTAAAACTTCTTTATCGTCGTCAAAAGCATGCGATCCGCATAATTAACTATGCCGATCGTTTTACACACACAAAACCTCTTTTTACTGAAATGAGATTGTTAAATTTATTTGAACTCAATGTATTTAAAGTTTTATGTTTTGTATATCTATGGAGAAATAATCAATCCCCAACCGTTTTTAATAATACTTTCAAACTCAAACCTAACAACAAATACGATATGAGAAACATAAACTTTTTAAAAGAACCATTTTGTCACACAAAATTTAATCAATTTTGCATTGCTTATCGTGGACCCCACCTATGGAATAATATAGTTTTGCAGAATTTTGATTTACCAACTTCCTTTTACCTTTTCAAGCTCAATCTAAAAAAATGTATTATTTCACTTGATAATATACTCAGATACTTCTAATATTTTGAAAATTGTTATACAACTTGGATTCAGTACTTTCTTTATTTTAATTTTTACTTTATTTTTTAGTATCTTATACTAGTATTTATTTTGCTTGTTTGTGCTTTATAAGGTTCTGATGACAAGATCTTGTGATCTTCTTTCAGATCCTAGCTTATGTTTCATTGTAAGCAGTTTATGTATGTGCGCATCTACGCATTTGTATGTGTATATATGCTTATATTTATATATGTATGTCCGTGTTTTTTCTTATTTTAATTTAGTTGATAAATGTTGTAACACGAATTTAATTGTAACACGATATATATGGCATATGTAATTGTACTTTGACATTTTAATGTAAGCAAAATTATAAAAAAAAAAAAAAAAAGAAGATTGAGTTCAGAAATTAACGTTTTTGGATTTGAAATTTCCGAAATAATAAAGAATAGGAAACAATAAAAATAAGTTCAGAAAATAATAATTTAATGTGTGAACCCAAAACAATTAAAATATTTTAAAAGTTTATTTTTTAAATGTTTTAGTTGCATTTGTATTGTTGCCTAGTTAATAACTGGTACACTTCTAAATTATTTGTTAAATACTACATATGTAACAGATATGGAACTCAGGCTATGCGCAAAGATATGGAACGCAGGCTATGCGCAAAGATATGGAACCCAAGCTATGCGCAAAGTGCTGATCAACTATTATCTTTTAAATGATATTGCAATTATCCTTTAAATAACTTGCGTTAACCTAAAGGTAAATAAAATAAACCCGCTAAAATAATTCCTTATTAGTAATTTATCTGTTCAAAGCATATTAATGTTTTGTTTGTAACATACTGCAGATTTAATTTAATTTGCTTTTAATTTTTTAAACTGCACTTGAGAGCAAAACTTGAGTGCTGTTCACAAAAAAATGTTATGCAGCCGTGATGTAGTGGTTATAGTTCTGGCTTTAGAATTGGAAGTCGTCTTTTAAACGTCTTATACACGTTTTTGACATCTTTTGAACGTTTTGGACGTCTTTTGAACGTTCAAAAGACGTCTTTTTTGGTCAGGTGCTGGTTCTGGTTCGAAGCCGGCTCTGACCATATATGCATCATAAGTAAGGAAGGAGGCATGAACTTCTTGGTTAAATTCTATTCCGTGGTGCTCTATGATAAGACTGTATGGACTTCTTGGATCACCTAAATAACTAGGAAAAAAATAAGACAAATAATATAAAATAAGCAAATAACTCTTTAACCCCGAAGATTAAAGATAAATCGAGAAATAAATCTGGAGAAACCAATTACCAAATGTTTATACCAAAAATTGTTGTTATAAAATGTTTTGTAAAATGCTTAGGTTTTATAAAATCATTGTAGATGTATGTATGCAGACTTGGACTGGGCCGCCGGGATACCAGGAGATTCCCGGTGGGCCGGTTGCCATAAAAATTAGATTTTTAATTAGACTACATTTTATTTTCCGTTGATCATTATAATCGGTAAATTGAAATGTATTTAAAAAAAATGATAATTTTCATTCTGGCCTATAATAGGATATAGCCTATTATAAGCCAGAAAAAAAGTTATTATATTTTGTACTGTTATACAGATGTGCTATTGCACATCTGCCGGCTACCGGTTATATAAATTTTGAAAGCCGTCTTGAACAGATCGAAATAAGTATTATACTAATGTAAACAAACCTTATTAGTTAACAAATATTTAAGTATTTATTTTATAATTACGTAGATTTTAAATTTGTTGTTGTTTGTGTATTGTTTACAGACAGAAAAGTCACAGGTTGTTAATATTGATAATATTTTGTTGTTATAAATTTTACACTATTTATCTTTGTTGTACAGTGTATTGTGTTGGTTGTACTTTGAATTTTGCCAACAAACATTAAGTATATGAACTCATTGACGGTTTGGCAAAAGCTAACATAGATTGCAGCCTATGGGTGACACTAGTTCATAGAGCGCCATCAGAAAAAAGAAATAAACAAGGAAAAAAAAATTGGAAAAAAAGTAAAGCGTTAGATAACTTTAGCTTTACTTATCTAACGTTAATTCTTTATGACTTAGTTTAAATAACTTTATTATTATTTAGCATAAATTAACGTTTTAATTTTATATTTTCACTTTATAATACTTATAAACACGTTTTTTTTTTTGTTTTTTTTTGAATAAGAAACCAGTTTATAAGAAACTAGTACTAGAAGCCCTAAAATTATTTGATTATTTGTGTGGCCTATGTTGACTAATGTGTGCGGTCGATAAATTAAAATCCATTATATAGGTCTTACGTTTGGATTTGATTTGCTAGCCCATAAGCGCAAGAAGTGAGTGTGTTTAGCTTTCTATTCACCATATTTGAAATGGGCGAAAACATATTGAGACTGAACGGTACATACTAATGCACTACACCATCACACCTGTAGACATCATCAGTTTCTAATATTAGTAAACTAAATTTTTTTTTTTTTTACTCATTAGCTTATTAGCGTTCGAGTCACCCAAAGGAGGATGGGCAATTATTCTAATTTTTAGCCAAAAGACAATCACCTAAGAAACTGTCTTAAAAATCCCAGCAGTAGAAAACAGCGACAGCCACCAAAATTTTGAAAAATGATTTGTTTCTTATTTTATTGTAAATTTATGTTGGCATTATCCTCATCACAATTTTCTTGTGAAAAGTTGAAATTAAAATATGTTTTAAACATATTTCAATTTCAACTTGTATGTATGTATGTATGTATGTATGTATGTATGTATGTATGTATGTATGTATGTATGTATGTATGTATGTATGTATGTATGTATGTATGTATGTATGTATGTATGTATATATGTATGTATGTATCTATTATGTATGTATCTATTATGTATGTATGTATGTATCTATTATGTATGTTTGTATTATGTATGTACCACTAATAAAAAATATAGCAAAAAAATTTGCTAAAAACTATAATCTTTTTTGAACTAAAAAGTAAAAAATAAACTTTTTGATTAAAATTTAATAGTTCAGTAAACTAAAGATTGACAGGTATGTTTCTAAATAAATCTTGTGCAGACCTGTCAATCTTTAGTTTACTGAACTATTAAATTTTAATCAAAAAGTTTATTTTTTACTTTTTAGTTCAAAAAAGATTATAGTTTTTAGCAAATTTTTTTGCTATATTTTTTATTTTCTACTTTTTAGTCTTAACAAATTTTTCATATGAAATACAAAACTAAAAAAATTATTAAAAAAATTAAAAAACTAAAATACAAACCTACAAGCAATCTTGCCTATCTAAAAAAAAAAATTTATTAGTAAAAAATTTTTTTTTAAAATAAATAAACCCGCAAGCAATTTAGTGACTAACTTTTACTAAAAAGAAAAGTTGCGAGTGGTTGAAGGACGATAAAGTTACTTTAGGAAAAGTTCATATCAAGTAAAAGAAAAGATTATAAAAAGAGATTAAAAAGAGACTGAATTGTTGAATTATACTTTGAAATTTGAATTTTTTTATTTTTAAAACTGCGTATTATTTTGTTAGCCGCCCCTAAGAAGCACGTACTTCCTTATGTATTTATTTCAAAAGTACGTCCTCATGTATTTATTTCTACCTGCCTATCGCTGCTTAGATAGGCAGGAATAAAACAATTAAAAGTCAAGGTTCGTAGGAAAATCCCATAAAAAACATCAGCATATATTAATAAACATTACAGTTAATTATAGTTAATATTATTGAATTTTACTGTTCAATTGTTTATTATAATTAAAAAATTACTCTCCTTCTACTCAATCTAACAATTATTTGTTACAACCTTTTTAAATAAATCATGTATGTTTTAAATAAATAAAATAATCGAGTATCAATGTTTGCTTATTTTTTATAGATAATTCAAACGGTGTTATCCCTAGTTTCGTTGCTAAGTAAGGGTTTCCACCACGAACTGTTATACTATGGACCATATTCAAGTTATTTAAAATAACGGCTAAGTGTAACGCGGTCCAACCATCATTTGAGCTTTCGTTCACATGTGCGTTGTGTTGTAATAAAAAAGTTAGTGCTGAAATATTTTCACCCATAACGGCAGCATGCAAGGGAATGAATCCAGAGTCGTCTTGTTGAGAAATTGAACAACCATTTTTTATTAGCGCTTTTAGACACTTGTCGCAGCATTTAAATGCTGCATCATGGATTAAAAAATTCGGGTAACATCCAAGGTCATAGATTCTTTTTTTTAATATTGTCCTTATGGTTTTACAAGAGTGTATCTGGATGTTATTTTGTAAATAATCATGAAACTCTTGTCGACGATCATGTTTCCTAATGTTCGGTAGAATCAACGAAGGCGAACTAAACGATCTTTTACTTTTTTGATTTTCATTATGTACATGAACGTTGTTTGGATTGTTATTATGGATAATATTTAAAACACTACTTGTTCTTCGATTGTTAATACTATTTTGTTCCTGTACCGAACAAACAAAAAAAAAGATATTTTTTTTGAAACTTTGCTTTTCGTCTCTATCTATAAATTGTTTCAATCTTTCCGGTTGTTTGGTGTATGAATTTAAATATGATTGATCAAAATGATTGGTTATTTTAGACTTGATTTTACTATTTACATCAATACAATCTTTATTTGATTTAATACAAAACGATTGGGTTGTTTCATTAAGCAACATCGAGTTTCTAATCTGATCGAATTGATCAATTCCAAGAATATCAAGCACTTTTTTCTTAGTTTTCCCATACGACCAAGACTCATAATGTCTGTCCAATACAATGCCATGAGACGTTTTAGAGGAAATCATGAAAACTTTGAGTATTACCAACGGTGTATTACCAGATACTTCTTAAAGCTGTTTTATAGCTATTAGTTGTCAAAAAACTAAAAAAAAAATGTTTATATTAAATAGAATGCTGTTTTTATTCTATCAAACAGAATACTTGCTTTATTAAATATAATGTTGTATATATGTTGTACCATATGTTAAAATACTGAATTAAAATAGTGCTTACAAAAAAAAAATAATCACAATTAACAAACAAACTATAAAGAAACAAAGTTAAAAACCTAATAAAAAAATATTTATATATATATATATATATATATATATATATATATATATATATATATATATATATATATATATATATATATATATATATATATATATATATATATATATATATATATATATATAAAGAACAATGGTAATATAATCTAAGACAGATCAATCAAAGTTTTTATAGAAAATTACTTACTCAAGCCGAGCTTATTTTTATTATGCTGCGCTTAATAATAATGCGAATTCATTTTCTAAATAAAAAAGTCACTAAAGTACACCATCATACACGTTGATGTTCTTTCACAATAAAAAAAAAAAACTCAGACAACAATTTGCAGGTATCTAGTGAAGCGCGTTATAACTTTTATTATTGTCTTGTCTCAGATTTACATTTTATGGTTTTAAAATGTGATTTTGGGAGGTCATAAGGAAACTGAAGTCTATGAGTTAACTTTAATTATGTCTCGTTTTATTTATACATATATATATATATATATATATATATATATATATATATATATATATATATATATATATATATATATATATATATATATATATGTATATATATATATATATATATATATATATATATATATATATATATATATATACATATATATATATATATATATATATATATATATATATATATATAAATATATATATATATATATATACATATATATATATATATATATATATATATATATATATATATATATATATATATATATATATATATATATATATATACATATATATACTTGAAAAAGTGTTAAATGAAGAAACCATACCACTAATAGAGGAGTTATAGTTCATAATTATGAATAAAATTATAATTAGAAAAACATGTCACTGTCTAGCTATCTTAATTAGAAAATTAAAAAAACAATCAAAAAATGCTGCCAAAATTAACAATCAATAAAATAAAAAAATCTTTCGAGTTTTTAAAGTACGCTTATCGCATAACAGTTGTTTATCGCATAGCAACAAACAAAATTTTTATTAGCTTTTAAAGCCTCAAGTCTGTTTGCTATTTTGTAGTTATTCACGTTTTATGATTAAAAAAATTTTAGTTTATTATAGAAGTATTTTTTTATTATAAACGTTGCAGAACAAAAAAGTTAAGTTTATTACAAAATTTATTTATTGAATGTTTGTTCAATGCATAATTCATTTAATGATTATTCAATCTTCCCCAAAAGTTATATTTACTAATTTTGTAATGCTTGTTTTTTTATTTTTCAAAAATACACTGTTGCTATGTAATTTTTATTATGCATAACATAAAAATAAGTCTTTATATTTAACGAAGGTATTTAATTAACGATACTTAAAACGGTCATTTCAAATTAAAAGTTAAAAAGCAAGACCGGAATAAAAAAAAATCGGTGGATGTAAGCGCCAGGGCTAGGGTTAAGGTATCTATATTCATTGACTTAATTTTCCTTGGATAATTAATTCAATGAATGTAAGTACACGCGCAAAAAAAATATGATAAAGAAAAATATAAACAAAATGTTTATTACACTACAAAAATATCAACATTAAAACACTAATTATAGTTATAAAGAAAGCTAAATAATTTTAAAGTTGTTTAGAAAATAAAAAAATAAAAAAAATGGTTCAAAATTGATATTTTTGTGAATTTATAAAAAAACGATAAGTTTTATGGGATTTCCGCAATTTATTTCCGCTAACAAGTTCCGCTATAAACAAACTTCAAATAACAAATTCCGCTATTATAAATTTTCCGCAATCAAATATCAACATAATTGATAATGTAACTGTTGTAAGCATAACATTTTAAAATACTTGAGACTTTATTTAATTAAAATGTCTCATCTTTTTCAAAAGTTCAAATATTTATAAGTTACAGCATATTTATTAAAAAAAAGTGTTGCGCAGTGTCAAGAAAATGTCAGTGCTTTTTTTTGTTTTTTTGGTAAAAAAAAAAAAAAAAAAAACGACGCTATGCAAATGCGGCATATACTTAAGTCGGAATCATTTTAACCTATAATAATAAGTTAAAAGTCCAAAATTTCGTTTAGCTGAAGTAATAATTGAGCAATCCAAGCAGCACAATTTAGTCGGCCCAACGTATTTGTAATTTTTTGGACAAACAATGAATTATAGTTGAACGTGGTTCGTGGTTATTGAGACAACAACGTTGACATAACTTACAGTTATCTTATTATGTTGGTTACTATTAGTACTGTATTATTAGAGCAACGTTAATCTAATGTAGCGTTTTGATTGGCATTGTGTTTTCTCATTGGCCTATTGTTAACATTCCGCATGTTTCACTAGATTAAGGCACAGTTAAAACTAAATTGGAGGTGTTAAATTGATCTAACGTAAGTTTATGCTTAGTGTTGCTTCGGCATGCTAGGGGGTGCTAATTAGGTTGATGTTTCAACTTTAGCACCATGCTTGTGTTACTAGATTAGCGTTAGAGTTTTAAATTTGTTTGACAATAAAAATTCAGTTGCCATTTATCTAACCATAATTCTCCCCGAAACAGTTGTCAGAGGTTAAAGATAAAACTCATTAAAGTTAAATAAAACTTCTTTTCTTGGGTAGCTATTTGTTATCTTCCAGCTTATTGCTTTAAATAAATTGCATACCAAAATCCGTACAGTTTCATCTCTAACTAGAGCGTTACAATCCAAAATGAGCTTATGAAGCATTTTTAAGTTTTTTTATCTTGACCAGAAATTATGGAAGTGCTAATTATTTTATTCTAGTTTTAGAATTAATTACAAACATATTTTAAGTGATTAGCAAAATGCTTTAAAATTAAAAGTTAACATATACGCAATTTAAAAGTGTCAAACACTATCTTCTTTAAAAGTGAGGTTATCAAACTTTATAGAAATAATGCAAAATATATAACTATTTTAACGTGTTCGCGGTAATTGTGTTAACCACACTTATATAAAACGGTTTATATTTAAATAATTCGTTATAATACAAGTTAATGTTGTTTGTAAAAGATTATTTACGTTAATACTTTTCAAAAATTAGTTGGTGTTAAATTTTTTTAAGAAGCACAGAGTCCGAAAGTCGAAATTAGTCGGCTTTAAAAAATCGAACAGCCGATACAATCGTCTAATGGATTTCCAAATAATCGACTAAAAGTTGTTTTTGACGAGTGAAAAAATAAAAGGTTTAATATCTTTTTATTCAATTTAATTTTTTTAATTTTTAACTTTTATTTGTCGATTTGATAAGATTAGCATGTATATTATAACTGTCGTATGCTGTTTTTTGTGTACTCTCTTTAGGTTTTATAAAATTCATAACATGTTAGCAATATTTATATCTAAATAAATATTCGGTTATGTACTTCTTTTTTTTTTTTTAATGTTTAAGCTATGCTTATTATTTTCATAAACACTTTCATACACAGCCGCTCCAAGTTGGCTCTGGGTCCTGGTACAAAATTAAATCATGAAACTTCAAAATCTAGATGTCTAGATGTCTTCAAAATTCATAAAATAATGTAGTAAATATGATTGGGTAGACTTTCTGATATTGAACAAGTATTTAAGGCCCTAAATCATTGGGGTATGGAAATAAATTTTCTCGTTATCAGAGCGCCCCTGCTCTCTTTTTTTTTTTTCTCCAAAGTTTTTAAAATCGATGAAAAACAATGTGATGTTGAAAAATGATGTGATGTTGAAAAATGATGTGATGTTGAAAAATGATGTGATGTTGAAAAATGACGTGATGTTGAAAAATGATGTGATTTTGAAAAATAGAAAAAGAATAAAAATTACTTTATTATTTTTATTACAATTTATTTCGAAAAAAAAACTTGTTTCTATTATTCTATTAAATCTATATAACAATGTATCGCGACGTTAGAATCATCTTGTTTTATCTCCACATTTTTTAGTTTGAGAAAAAATAAAACGATTTAAAAAATAAAAACTTTAGGAGATGGCGTATAAGTTTTTTTTTATAACTTATTTTTTTTCCGCAACGTTTTTACTTAAAACTTAGATTTCAATTCAGTAGAAAGATATTATTTTGAGGAACACAACACTATCATTAACTCAATTTTTTCAGAAAGTGGAGATAGAACAACATAATTCTAACGTCGCGATATGCAGATTGCCAAATTGTAAAAAGGTTTAAAAATTGGTGTTGGTTCAACATAAGGTGTTCATGTTGTTGGTGCATACTGTAATGATTGAAGTTCCATCCCAACCTAATATTACTGGAGAAAGCACATCAGTAAAACCACTAAAAAAGATATCTAAACCTCTAAATGAATACTTTTCGATTTTGAAAAGGGAAAATAAAACACTTCAATGCCAGCAGAAAAGTGCATGAACTATTAGGAAAAAAAACTTAAAGACCATATTAGAAATAAGGTGGACAAAATTATTTTTTCTAAATTTTTTTAAACAACCAATTTTTGTTAAGATATATTTGTTTTTATTACAAATTTTAGTTAAATAATTGCTTATATAAACAAAGTAACCTATATAACAAATATCAACCTTTATAAAACTTAAAAAATGCGGTTTTAATTTAAAACTAATTAACTTTTTAAATAACTTAAATAACTCTTTCATGTTTATACGTCAAAAGTATCACGGTGAACAAAGTTAATACAGCAACTTGACGTCATTATCCCTCATCTGGCGGGATAAACTTTAAAATTAAAATTGCGCAATTAAGAAAAAATGAAAATTTATAAATTATGATTTGAGTCTTTATTATTGAATCATCAGATATCCACGACGTTTCAAACAAGTCTGTGGATTAGTTATCACCTCTATATATAATATTGTATTTTATTTTT